GGCTGGACCCTGCCCCCACCTCTACTCGCTCCTCTCGGAGCGTTCGTGCCCTCCCGAGTGTTATGCAACCCAAGCCCGCAGGGGGATAGGGGGCGGCGGGCCGCGCTGCTCACCCGGGCTGGCCAGTGTGGGTAGCCCTTCATCTTGGCGAACACCAGGTCCCCGCATTTGTACTCCTTCTGCCGGTTGGATCGCGACATGGCGGGGCTCCGGGCGCCCCGGGCTCCGCGCCGGGCCGGGAACGTGCAGTTGTTTGTGTTTGAAATTCAATTGCTCCCTCCTCTGCGCGAGGCCTCTTCCTCCACCCCCCGCTCGGTCCCCACTCCTCCTCCTCCTCCTCCCTCCTCCCGGCCCACTCCTCCTCCTCCCCCTTCGCGCTCCCTCCCGCAGCGGTTTGATGCGTGCAGCTTCTGGACGCCCAGTGCCTGCCACAGCCCGACGCCCAACCTGGAGCCGCCTGGCGGCGCGCGGCGACACAGGCCTGAGGAGCCGATCGCCGAGCGCGCCGAGCAGGCTTTGTGTGCCCGCTGTCGGTGGGTGCCCGCCCGCCCGGGAGGAGCTGGCGCCCGGCTGGACGGAGCGGCCCCCGCCCTTCCCCGCGCTGCTGGGCGCTCAAAGCCGTGGCCCCAGCGCAGTCAAGTGTGGATGTCTGCGCGCATTGTCCCTCTCCCCTCTGCTTCATCCCAACCCACGAATATTGTTCGGCACCCTCGGTTCTTGGCAGAGCGCTAAGCGCCGCGGGAAGAGAGGCGTGGGCACCGCGCAGCTGAGCCCTCGGAGGTCCGCCTTGGACCTCGACGTGCTTACATTCTGCAGGGCGGCCCCAGGAACGTCGGGGATTTTTTGCTCTATATTGGCCTTTGCAGTGAAGTCAGGAAGCGTCCAAGGGATTGTAGTACAAAGTAGCCCCGTTCGGAGTGCATTAGTTCTCGGCTCGGTTCTCTATTCTACCAGCTGGCGGAAGAGAGCTGTGCTGTACGACTAGCCCCAACCCCGCAAAGATGAGCTTTTTTTTCTAGTGGGAAACGACTCTCGAATTCAGTAAATCCAAACTCAGGAACCAGGCGCTACCACTCTTGGAGGTTGGAGGTGGGGAGAATCACGGAAGGCTTCACAAAGGTGGTGACTTTGAGCTGGGCCTTAAAGAAAGAACAGGATTTTTGCCAGGTTCCAAGAGATTAGTTTGGCCTGGTTATATGCTAAGAATTGATAGATCCAAAACTTGAATTCAGATCTCTTTCCATAAAGCTAAACAAGAACTGAGACGGACAGGGGGTGTGATGGTTTAGGCGCTGGAGTCCCATAAGACCCACAGCGTAATTCAACTCTCAAGACCTGGCTGCTTGCTCTCATTCCCCCCAACCCCCATCTCTCTCTGATGACTACAACAAGTTAAAAAATAACAAAATAAATAATTATCAAACAAGACTTTACTATGATCACATCTTTTTGGTTTTGGCTTTGTCCAAATTGCAAATATCTATTATTTCTCAAGAAGAAGACATTTGGCAGGGTGGGCAGGTGACATGGTGGTTGAGGCTCTGGACTTCCACATGGCTGACCGCAGTTTGAGTCCCGGACTTGGTGGCCTGCTTGCTCACTTTCTCTCTCTCTCACTCAGTCCCTCTCTGGTCAAATTAAAATAAATTAATGAATAACGTTAAAAATTTAAATCCCGGGGCTGGCAAGTGGCGTGGTGGATAAGGGCGCTGGATTCCCACATAGCCAACCATGGTTCGAGTCTCAGACCTGGTGGCTTGCTTTCTCACTTTCCCTCTTTCACTCTCTTTCTCTGTGTCTTTCTGATCAAATTAAAATAAATAAATAAAATGAATGAATGAATAAAATTAAATAAATAATTCTTTAAAAAAAGTTAAATCCTAAAAAAATAAGAAATAAAAAACCTCTCTAAAAAGAAAGAAAAATAGTACAAGGATGTAACCCAAAGGCCCATGTTCACATCCCACCTTGCTGCTGACTAGTCATGAGAATTTGGACCTTCTCTGAGCCTCAGTTTCCCCAGCTGTAGTATGGGATAACACACCTGTTGTGCCAGCATCAGAACTGTGGATTGGCTGCCTATCAAGAGAGGACTCTGCAGCTGTCCCCAGAGTCCTGCATACAGCTGGCTGTCCTTATGTCCCTGGCAGTCATTGCAAAACTCTTGCCTGTATAAGCGTAGTCTGTCGGCAGCATGGTGTCCCCTTTAGCCTTGTCCACAGGCACAGCGGGCCATTCTGCAAGGTCCTCTTGCAATAAAAGAGCCATGCAGGTACTAGCAGGTGACATGGCCACATGACTGGCTACAGGGCTTGAAAATCACTCCAGGTGGGACCAGCAGGTAGTACAATGGTTACATTGCTGGACTCACACATAGTCAAGGCAGTTCCAGTCCCAGACCTGGTGGCTTAAAACTCACACTGGGTGAGGGACCAGCAGTTAGCGTAATGGCTATGTCGCTGGACTCCCATGTAGTCAACCGCAGTTAGCATCCCAGACCCGGTGGCTTAAAACTCATGCCAGGCGCGTGTGCGTGGGTGCCCAAGATCCCGAGAGGAGAATGGAGGAGAAGGGATTGCGGCGTGACCATCCCCCCTGGGGGGTGATTTCTCGCTTTCTGTCTGTCTGGTCCTATAGCAAAAACCTCTAAAAAAAACAAAAACAAAACCCCAAAACCTCACACTGGGTGCATGTGTGCGTGCGCCCAAGATTCTGAGAGGAGAATGAGGGAGAGAAGGAATTGTGGCGTAGCTATCCTCCCTGAGGGGCGATTTCTCACTTTCTGTCTGTCTCTTCAGTGAATGCATGCACCCTATAGCAAAAATCGCTCCCCCCCCCAAAAAAAAAAAAGAAAAATCACTCCAGGTGTGTATGCATGTGTGCCCAAAATCCAAAGAGGAGAATGGAGGATAAGGGTTTGTGGTGTGGCCATCTCCTTGGGGGATGATTTCTAACTTTCCCGCTCTATCTCCAGTGAGTGCATGCACCCTGTGGCAAAAAAAAAAAAAAAAAAAAAAAAAAAAGGGGC